CAACCCCATGGTTTCATGAATACTGCATGGGAATTCAACGAAATCTTTAATGCGAAAGGACATTTAATTACTTTTGTCCACATGGCCATTTTAGAAAACTTGAACACAGAAATGCTTTAGAAAGTAAATAACAATGATCTGTAATCCATCCATAAGATACATTTTATTAGTTTTACATATATATTTATTTTGGAGAACTGGCATCATAGAGTATAAAACTTTAAATAAAATCTGCTCTTTTCATTGACTGTTATACCATGGGGATAAAAATAGTCTTCAGAATGTCTCAAGTCACCAGAAGCTGAAAGGCAAGGAAGGATTCCTGTCTACAGACTTTAGAGAGTGCACGCCCTGCCAACCCTTTATTTCAGGTTTATAGCCTCCAGAACTGAGAGAATAATATATAAATATAATGTATTAATATTTATTTACATATTTATATATTTATATAATATAAACATGTAAATATGTTTATAATATATATTTTTTCCCTTTAAAGACATAGCCTTTGATGGTTGCATAATACTCCCTTTCCAGAATGATATAATGATTTACTTGGCAATTTTCCTACGTGAAGACAGTCTTTGTGAATTTTCCCTATCATAACTAACTGCAATAATCATTATTATAAATAAATCTTTATTCTACTCTAGTTCCTTAAGATAAATTTCTAAAAATAAAAGTACTAAATCAAAGCACTTGATCACCTTTTCATAGGGTCACAGTCCTTCTGAAAAGCTGCACTAATTTACAACACCAGTGCCATGTACACTTTTATCCTCAAAGCAAAAATCAGTATGAGCCTACAAAAATTCATGAAAGCATCTTCAAAAAAGAAACTCTACCCCATCCAAACTATCCATCCGATAAACAAATACAACTGGAAACAAAGACGACTGCATATGCACATAAGGGTTATCAGGGAAAATTGTTATCAACACTAAGCTCTACCCAACTGAGCAAACTGGCCACCTACAATCAGGGAAATTTTAAAACCACTGTGGAAAAATAAAAGTGCACGCCACATTGCAGTGTCTTGCAGCATCATTATACTATGAGGTCACTACATTTTCATCCAAATCACTGTCACCAAACCCTATTCCATGACTGAAATATAAGTTTATTGCATTAGATTTGACTTGGAATAACAGAGACCCCAAACTTGGCTAAATTGTATAAAACTATTCTGTACCTCCCCAAAGTAATCATGTAGATTAATCCTAATGTCCAATGAAAACCTGAAGTTGCCACATCAAACTGACATTACTCTTTCCCTGTGCCAATTATAAGAAACAATTTTCTTTATAATCCCTGTATTTTGGCAAAATTACTATGCACTTTAAAAGAAGGAATGATTTGTATTAACCTCTGAAGAACTGACTTTATATGATTTTTGCCCAACATCTGCCAAACATCTTTTCAATCAATATTCTAACAGTGCCAAGTTTTTTACTTTTTTGTTCTTATTATAAGAACAAGTCAGTTCAGTCAAAATGATTAAGGAGAAATTACTCTATTTAATGCCAGTGCTTCAACATAATGAAAGGCCTTTTAAAAACAACTAAACCGGGCTTGGTGGCTCAGCCTGTAATCCTGCGCCTTGGGAGGCTGAGGTGAGTGGATTGCCTGAGCCCAAAGGTTCGAGACCCGCCTGGGCAACTTGGTGAGCCCTCATCTCTACAATAAAACAAAAAATTAGCCGGGTGTGGCAGCGCACGCCTATAGTTCCAGCTACTTGGAAGGCTGAGGCGGAAGGATCGTCGGAGCCCGGCAGGTCGAGGCTGCGGTGGCTGGGAGCGACCACTGCACTCCAGTCCACTCCAGGGCGACAGAGTGAGACTCCAACTCAAAAAAAACCAACCAAACAAAAAAACTGTAATCAGCCTGGAAAGCATTCAATGACAAGGATAAAACAAAAGTAAAAATAAAACCAAATTACATATTTATCTAAATTTCTATTTTGAAAATTCGGTGACCAACAAATAAATTTCTATCTACAAGACAGAACAAGTCTTGATGTATTGGGATATATTTTAAAACTCAAATAACTGATTAGGTAAGACAAATAATTATGGGCCTATTACTTATATATTTACTACTTTTAATGAAGTCTGATCAGAAACTTAAAGACAAATTCTGGAAATTATTTTAATTGTAAAATGAAATAAGGAATGATCTGATACTATATACACATACAAATAAACCTTATAAATCACAGATCCCAATAAGATTTTGACGACTGTTTTTGTCTTAAAGAGACAAGATGGATAGGAACACACGTTTATAACACACTAGAAACCAGAAAGCCAGATGTTCTTATCTCTCTTACACAATCGGCTAGCCACATCCTAAAATTATTTTTCCTCAGTTTTAAATGCTATCCAAAGCAGAAGTACAAGACCTATCCAGGTTCTCAAAAGCTTCCAACCCTGAAAAGCTGCAAAATTCCTCCCAAACCCTGGACTGTTCTTTCTATACAGAACCAAATGGGCATGTCAGCATCATTATTTCAGGGTAAGCATTAGAAACTCTCAAATGAGGCTACTATATATACACTGAATAATAAAAGGAACTTATTTCAAAAATAAACTAAAAAAAAAAAGCTGGATTCTACAAAGCGGTAGAAAGCCCAAACCACTCTGATGTCTATGAAATAAACTACTTTCTCTTGATGATGATTGGACTCATTTTTCCACGTCAGTTCAACGGCCACCAGAAATTACAACAAACGTATTTTTCCCTCTCTTCATTATGTGTATATACACGTTGTGTGTGTTCTGTTCGCTGGAGTCTACTGCCAAGGCTTTTAAATGTACTTAAGAACAAGTTGCTGATCTGAGGGGTGGGCAGGGAACGGGTCCAGGGCTGTGGTTTTGTATAATGCCGAGCACATCAATGGGCTCACCAAATATCCCATTTATTTTACTTGTGGCTTTCAGGGTTAGGGAAAAAAAGGTTAGGGGTTTTTCAAAATCAAAACATGAACCAAAAATAGGGAAGTAGGGCAAAATTACCTGGATCACTCAGGCCAACTTGCTTTTCCTGAATTTCTAATATTATAAACCTCCTTCCTTCATGGTGTATCTATTGTGCACATTCCATCTCTTGGACAACTTGAATTCCTAAATCTTCCTACCTGTCCTATTTTTTAGATAACAAGTGACTTGCTAAAAATACTGATAACTTCCTTCAGCCACACGCCATTCCCACCAAGGAACACTGTTAGGGTAACGGAACAAGTAAGAGACAGTGACTGTACTGCGATAGCCTGTGATTGCACAGTAATTATTACACATAACCTCACAGGAACGAGAAAAGTCCAGGAACAGGGCAGGAATCCCTCGGTCCTGGCAGCTGAAAGTTCGGCTGAGATGAGTCAAGCAGAAAAACGTGACTTTTCTCTACTTAAGTGGGTATGGTTTTTAGCACACTCAAATCTCTTTTGCCAAGTACCAAAAGGAAAAAAAAAAAAATCTTTGGTTTGCCTGATTAACTTTTTTCCAGTTACAAGTTTTCTCAACTGGGTGAACAGAGAAAGATGGTTTCACACAATATATTCTTACCCTTTGAAGCAAACAGATTGTCTAGCTAACTGAAATAGAAAGGTTTTTGAAGCAATGATTATCTTGATGTGTTAAGTGAATTAGTTAAATATAGCAATTCCTAAAAAAGCAAACTTGTCATCATTTAAAAAATTTTAAGTGGTAAGAAAAATAACTCAAATAGCAAAGCAGCCAGTAAGGTTCAAGAAAAAAGTGGAACTTGGGATTTCTCTTTGAAAAACAAATGTCAGTAGTATTCCTACACGTGTAGTTACAAAACAAGCATGTACACAACACTTTTCAAAATAATACTTTTTAATAAAACAGGCAGTTTTGTCAGGGGAGAGGCCCATTTTTCTGCTTCTGCGGAAAATTCACCAAGGTAGTAAGTACCGTGTGCTAGGAGTAAAATCTTCTATTTATTTCATTGTACGGTCTCAGGTCTCTCTCCTCCACTTTCTCCGTTTAAATAGTACCTATTTTACCAGCAGACAACGTGCAGAGGACTTACATGTATTAACGAATTCCTCCCGCAAAGTTTGGTTTCACTATCAGAACTTTAGTTTACACACAACACAGCGTCTCCACAATAATAAGCTCTACATCCTAACCGCTTTAGAGTCGGTCTGCCTGGTGGTTGCCTTCTCGGTTGGGATGCAACACACCTGTAAGAATCCTTTCTGGTCATATGGAAACAGACCCGTCCCTGCGTCTGCCCACACACTAAAGTTTCTTCTAAAATGTTTAAAAACGCAACTATGTGGGAGCTCACAAAGTAAGCGCAAAACACTGTTTCTTGGACTCCAGGCAACGTATCCGCAGAAACAGAGTCATTTAAGAGGACACCACAAATGCTACAAATCCTACTACAAGATTCTCAAAGGTGTGTTCCCGAGTCTCCGTCTCCCCAGAGTTACTGAATTTTGTTTCCACCAAAGGAAAGGCTCCGCAGCCGCAAAACTTTTCCCGTTTCTACGGACGCGCCACATAAAATGCAGGCTCAGAAGTCAAAAGTCCTATGAAAACCTCCTCGAGGAGCATTCATTTGGTGAAGGGCGAAGTGTGTGACCCGCTCATCCTGCTCCCCGCATCTGTGTCGCCCCTAACTTTACAAAAGCTCATCGCCCAGGTTCGGGGTCCTTGACTCATCGGGGAAGAATGCGGCTGATGAGTTATCTATTAATCCCAAACGCCTCGGCTAGAAACACGTTTCACCAAGAACTTTTAACGCTGGGAGGGAGGAGGCAGGGAGCACGGTTCTCTTCCAGCCAGAACTTTTCCCCGAGTTTCTCCCTCAACCCCCCTTCTCGCTCCCCCCACCCTGCCCCCCCCCCCCCACTCTCCAGCCCCGGCACCAAGTCCTGACCTCAGGGTCCCGACCGTCTGAGGTCACCCAGGAGTCAGCTCTCGACTCCACTTTGAAAATCCCGGGCGAACAAAGCTGAGCGTTATACTTACGAAAGTCTCCGAAAAGTCCGTGGAGTGACGCGGTCTGAGGCACGCAGCCGCGCGTGGACACCGCCACGCACGCTCTCCGGACCCACCCCGCTC